AATATAGTTCCTACAATAGTTTCAGATGAATTTGAAATACGTCAGCAAGCATTTAAAAATGTTAAACTTGTCGAGAGTGAGGCCCTTCAGTCTTCCTAATTGATTCTGTGGACCTCATTTTTCATTAAAGAACCATTTTTTCTGGCTCATCCATAAGAAAAAACGTACCGGCTTAGGGAAACTGGTGGTCTACATCGATGGCCAAAGTGCAAAACCACGGATCTCTGTTTCGCCGTGTTTTATATTTTTTTTTTTTTTTTTTTTTTTTTTTTTTTTTTTTTTGGTGGAAAACTGGTCAACGTAATTAATTGAAAAATCTTCTTAATTTTTCTTGTACTGTCGGCAACATATTTTGCATACATTTTGAGCCTCACAAATGACTTTTTTCTCTTCGACAAAATAAAATACGAGCGAAAATTCTGAAACACTGCAATGGAGAGTTTCGCACTTTTGTCATCGATATGTTCCCTCTAAAATGAGCTAAACAAGGTTCCTTTCTTCTCTTTCTATGTTTTTGTGAATTGAAAAAAAATCATTCCATCGAAGGGAGCCAACTCACAGCTGGTTCTGTCTTGAATTCTTACGAGATCCCTACTGAAGTCACGGATCAGGCACGAGGTAGCTCCCCTCAGTGAATGAAGTTTTCAAGTAAGCCCCCGATCGCGAAGAGGCGCCTTCAGTTACCCATTTATACTAAACGCCCAACAAAGAAGCACGAATAGTCGTATTATTGTTTTGTCTGATTCTAATCTCAAAAGTATAAAAGGTAACAATTATCGACTGTTAACCTAACCAACGCAACGTTGGCTTCTGTAAAAGAGATCCAAACGCTCCGAGTAAATCATCCCCAATTCAAATTCAAAATTTCGGATTGGATCAATTATTGTTAAAAAAAGTTATTTCAATGCATTGATAGAAATGACTAAGCTTATTCGAATCAACGATTATCTCACTATCGTTAAAAATTACGCAGGTTTCCTTCTACTGGAAGCTTTCCATTCTATATTCGCGAGAAAATTTAAAAAGCCAAGAGTGATATCTTTGCCGTTGACGAACGAAATTCTCTTAACAAGAGAGCGGTGGTGTTGCTTGCTAGAGGTAACATTTAGACCGAGTTTATCAGAAAGGAACCAACCCAAATTTCTGAAAAAATTGAGTTAGCCGCTAGCCGATAATTTCTCCTACCAAAATCTGAAAGCCGAAAAAAAGAAATTAGTTTGTGAAAAGAGGCGTTAAAGTTTATTTTCTACATTGAGCCTTATGCAGGAGTAAAACTTCAAACATATTTTTCTCAGTATCAACTTAATGTGGATTGGTTCCTTTTGGATAAACTCCGTCCGTTTATAACGAAGCAAAAGAAGGTAATTTTAATAGTTTCACTCTTCGCAAAATCCTGAATTCATGATCGTTGGGGGGTGGCGGGGCACCTAAAACCTATGGACGCTAATACGAAGAGAGCTGCAGTACCAGCAGAGGTATAATATAATGCAAAATCTAGAAGTGGGAGGAGTTCCTTGCCTTCTTCACCTCACTCAGGAAGATTCGATGACCTCGGACCCCTATTATATCAAAGTTATGTCAATTACGTAATAATTGACATAATCCGTTTAGGCAACTCTGCGGAAAAGTTTAACCTTTCTTGTCGCTCAAAGAGAATAGTGCAAAAAAATTAATGTAAACAATTAAAATAAAGGAAGAAAAATTTGAAAAAAATGAGAGCATTTTTCAGTTTCTTTTCACCTCCGATGTACAGTTTTTTGCACTATGTCGTATGTCGTTCGCGAAAACTTTGCTCGAACTCTCTCGAAGGTTCCGGACCTGTTCGCAAAAGAGCGCATGCTTGCAATTGTTGCATGCTCTGTCTGGCTGATCGGTTCTCTTTATCGCACTCTATTTATTAAATTAAGCCTTCTTATTTTTAATTTAAAGTTTTTATTTACCATCAAAGCCCTGATAGTTGCGATGGATCTCTCCGCCTCCCCCGTGAACCCTTAATATTGTGCAGACTCCGCGTATCTTCTGACGCATACCTGACACACGTTTTCTCGCACTGATGCAGCAGCTGTCAAAGGAATATTTATTTTCATGCTCTCAGTATCCAGTTTTGCGTGATTTGGTGAGAGAAAAAAAGAGGGGAAAAAGGTGTAAATATGTGTAAGGTGATCCAGATATCAGAACTCCAGCCTCACATTAATTATCTAGGTAAAAAAACCATGTACTACAATTTGATACGAAGTACATGTGCAGAGTGTCCCAAATTACCCGCACCAGGCATTTTTCTTGGTTTTTTTTCTGTACAATTGGACAAAAATGGGCACAAGGAGGATGAGGAGGAAGTCCTCGTCTTTAAAGTCGAGACTTCCGCTAAAATTTTGAAATTACTTCACCGAGATTAGAGAGATCGGAGGACTTAAATTTACACCAAGAGATCCAAAATCAGCCCATCTGTTTCCAAAATGATACATACATAAAGCCGCTTTCATGGCGCAGCCTCGCGCTCTGCGACGCCCAATCGCCATTGCCCCCTATCCTCCCAGAGATCATCAGGCAATTGGCACTTTCTGATCTCCTCACTTTCCAAAATACTGATCCTGTAAATAAAGAATCATCGTTTCAAAATGGCTCTCACTCCTGCTTCACCTAAAACATCAATATATAATGAGACATATTGTCGCTCTTCCGACGTAAGAACGCACCTCGGTTTCCGCATGCGCCCTAGATAGCAGTGGCGTGGCGTGCTTTGCGATATATCGATTGATCTGCCATTTAAACCTATGGGAAAGTATCGATAGACAGGGTGTTCGCAGCGAATACCTAAATAATCGATTAACACAGCTTCAAATGGGAAAATATCGATAGATCGAAAAGCACGCCACGCCACTGCTAGATAGCATGTATGTATGTATGTAAACAGGGCTCACGTGGCAGTTGAGATATGCCCTTATGCCAGAGGGTCGATGATATTGGTGGTGCCTTACTGGTGATTGTAACGGTTACCATAGCTTGACTGGAGGAAAAGAAAGGTATTGCCGTATCATCTAAGACCAATTGTAGACCATCGCCATTGTAGAATAAAATATGTGTTAATAAAGGTGACCACTTTTCTGAGACAATTTGTTTTGTCATACTTCGGACATTTTAACTTATCTCTGAATTTCCTTTTCCTACCATTTTGGAGGGTGTAGTAGGTTATAATTCTAAATCTATCTTGTAGCTGCACATCATTTTGTTTCCTGATAGATTTACCCCCACCTAAGAGACGAGAACAGACATGGGCATGGGTCCCTGAGTATCATTGGTCCGTTTCACGTGGAACCAATATCGGAGGTCACGGTCATGGTTGGTGAAAAACGGTCGGGAAACAAAACAAAACAAAAATCCTGAGATAATCGAGGGAAATAGATGCAAAGGTGAACCCATAGTCGAGTGTAACAAAGAAAAATGCCTGATAAGTCGCAAAATTACCAAGAGTTGACAAAACAACTAAAAAAAGCTCTCTGGTGGAAAACAAATGCTAGCTCCACATGGCTATTCTGCGAACGCTGACAGATTTACGTTTTTGCAAAGGTGGTCCAAATTCCTTCTTTAATAAAAACCAAACGCACTAACGCACAGCGAAATTTTGATTAATTTTTTCATCTTACCAAAAGTTAAAAGGTCAAATCCTTTGACTTGATTCCATTTGGTCGGCAGATATAACGCACCTGTCAACAGAGATCGATTTACCCATTTAAAAGCTGTGTATAGGTAAATTTTTAGTTCGGGTTCTGTAAATATCCACCATTATCTCGAATCAGTTTGGACTCCTAGTGAAAAAAAAAATCTAAAACATTCTAAAATATCAGAAATTCCTGGGAAAGTTCAATTTTCCGGTAAATTGGTGCATGATGAATCATTGGCCGAGGCTGTTTAAAATTCAGGGACCAAAAATTCATTGCCCGGTCAAGCGGCATATAGTAATATGCGCCCACTACAATGATGCCTGCCCATAATGTAAAGCTATGAACCGATTGGCTTGCGCTAGAGAAGACGAGGAAATTTGTTAGTGTCATATTCCTACTCACTTTTCTCATCTTAAGGTCTTATAATTTCTTAAAAAATTGCATTCACCAACCGGTATTTGTTTTCATTTTTGCGATAAAATTGTCTGTTTTTGAAAATTTGACATTTCGATAAAATTATGTGAGCTGAGAAAAAACTACTGGTCCCGGCTTCAGCAGCAAAATAGTCCCAGAGAAAAAATGTTCTATATTTTCAGACGCGGTTCAATCGGATCTTGTCTTTTGGTAGTTTCTGGGCAGATTTTGTGACTATGGATCCGAAAAAATCGTAATCAGAAGCAGCGCAGAACATTGTCAGGCATACCAAATACATATCCTCGAGTATTTTTGATCGCTGAATATAAAATTGACCTAAATTATTTCACATCATGCAATAATTGTCCGCAAGATTCATTAATGGGAAAATTTCAGAAAAATTCTTTATGAATTTTAAAGGTTTTTTTCCAGGGAAAACTCAAACATAACTAGAAAAACGAAGGGGCTATTCGAAATTAGCTAAAAATCATCGAAATGAATGTTATTAAAAACATTGACAAATCAACAAAACAAATATGCGCCGAACTGGCGCATAAAATAAAAATGTCATTTACAATAAGTTCGAAGTGTTGGAGCACACTTGGAAAAATGCTATTCGTGTGTTAAGTTTGAAGAAATTTTGTTTTCTCGATGTTTGTACAAACATTTTTATTTAAATTCAAAATAGGGGCTTTTTTATTGCTGAGAATATATTACGATTTCGATCCGCGACTTTAATTTTTACTTTCCTTTGGGTTTCTTTTGCAGTCATCACCGCGGCAACGTGATTCCGGCGACAGGTTGCATAAAACACCGCGAGGAGTGGGGCGAAATTAAAACTAATCATTATCACTAAAAATAATATCCATATCAGCCGGCGCCGGAGGGGAGTTGATATATGGGAGTTCCTCGCGCCGCGGCTCAGTCATTATCCGTAGTCGTGTTTCGACGCTCCTTCAATCGCCGTGATACCACACGCCGCTCCGCGCATCCAAGTGTGAGTATGTGCGAGACGCCCACGTCTCAACCGTAGCTGCTTCCGCCGTGGAGTTCAAATCAGTCGTTGAAGCTGAAGTTTCGGATTCTCTGACCAACCTCGCATCGAAAATCTCACTCCTCGAAAGCTCTGAATTTTAACTCTGGATTTAAAGTGCTGCAAGAACGTGAACCACAGCCGAAGATAAAGTTGCTCAAAAGTGACCAAAGTTTTGTGCGACGGAAATCAGTGCCCAACGCGGTGACAACCCCGGTTTTCAGCCTTGCTGAAACCGAGTTTTTAGCGTGATGCGGACAAAGTGCTAAAACTAAGCTCTGAACTTTTAGCTTAACCCAACCGTGACAACCGAATTTTTGATGGTGGTTTGAAATTTCCCGTCATCCCCCTCCCCCTCCCCTACTCATCCCCAAGCCCTGAAATTCCCATCATCTTTTTTTGTCGCACCTTAAAGTCTTTAAAATCCTTCAATTTTTCTCATCCCAAAGTTTCAACTTCGACCTAAATTCCCAGAATCTTTTTTGTCCTAACACCTTGAAGTCTTCAAAATCCTTCATTTTCTCTTAGCCCAAGGTTTCAATTTCGACCTAATTTGACCTGCACTCTTACCTGACACCCTGCAAGTCCCAGACCTTTTCAAAGTCCGTAAAACCCAAGTATTTCGGGAGTTAAATGATCCCGAGCTCGCGGTAACCGGGCGCGCAAAGTGAAGTCCAAAGTGACCGGGCGCGCAAAGTGTAGTCCAAAGTGAACGGCTCGACTCGCGGACTCGATCCCCATGATGACGCGTCTCGCTTCGTGGCCCATCTCGGCGCTCTGAGCGGACTCCGGAATCAGTTTGCGCTTGAACGTGTGGCCCTGCGGTTGGTCGCTCTTTCGCGATGCCGTCCTAAAATTGACCCCCTGCTTTCCAAAAGCTTTTTTCTTTTCTTTTTTTTTCATCCGTTTAGTTTAGTCCTTGTTTTTAGTTCTTTAAGTTTTAGTCAGTAGTTTTAGTTTCGCGATGCTTGTCTAAAGTGCGCTCCGCTCCCGCGGATAACCCCCTTGTCGGGTTCGTTTTGTCATGAAATAAGTTCACTGTGTCCGGAAATTTGCCTGGAGCAAATTTTATCTAACATCTCAGCCCCCGGAATTACAACAACTCGTAAGTTTTGTTCTTGTTTCGTTCTTAGTTGTATGCTTTATGCTTAGCTTAGTTCTCGCCGACACCCTAGTTTAGCCCGGCGAGTGGCCTCAATTTTCCCGCTTTTCTAGGTCTTTCTTTTCTTCGGGACATCGTGATATCGGCTGAAATTATTCAGAATGCATAAATTGATTGCAAAGTGACCTGATCATAATGGAATCAGTGAGAACGAAAACACACCAACTCGAAAAAATGAAAATAATCAAGGCCCACATAAAACTGCACGGTGCGTGAATAAGTTAGTCTAAGAAAAATAACTTTGGTGCCGAGAGACAAATACTTAAGGATACTTTAAAGATCCAAGTTGGAACAGATACGCTACCCTCAATGAATTTTATGAAAATTGACTGTCTTTAATACAAATTGAGCATTATCGAATTACGAGTTAGTGTGTTTTCGCTCTCACTGATTCAATTAGAAGCGCAAGAGGTCGTGATTTTGAACTTAATGGATCAATCGCTTATCAGATCTCTTTGAAAAGAAAAGTGAAGCATATCAGGAAAAAAAGAATAGGAAATAGAGGAGAGAAGGGGGGGAGGGTGAAAGGGTGAAAGTGAGGAATTTTCATCAACTCCTCCAGATTGATTCAGACTGTGATAAGTTTGGCGGACTGATCACCTAGTGTTCTTTATTCTAAACTAACTTTTCAACTAGGTACTTACAAAAAATGCACCAAGTTTTTTCCACTCCATACATCAGCCTTATCTATATTTTTCTTCGTCTTTTCTTTTCACATTTGAATACACCAGAAGGGCAGAGGGTTAACTTGTCCGTATAACACTGGGCATTGGCATCGGTACACTACAGCATGAAATTCCTGTCGTAACAACAACACCATGGATTTTCAAAGTATTTGATTCAAGTGATTTGATTTTGGACACAATGACTATTTCCAAATCGAAAGTCTTTCAACCTCTTCTTCAAATACTAACAAATTGATTTTTTCTAATTTGTTACGTAATCCCCCCTTCCGCTGGTGTTTTCATGTATGAATTTTTCAGAGAAAATCTGAACTATTTGAAAAATAGAAATACTTCGGCACCTTTGCTCCGTGGAGATTTTTTTTATGAAATTTCAAACATTCTAAGTAAAGGTGAGTATGATAATAATAATAAAATGAATGGTAAAAAATTCCTTAAATTTGTATGTCGGCGGGGGGGGGGGGCACAAAACTACCCTCTTAAGAAAGGGGGCGAAATTCGCCTTGTTACAGCCACGAGCTGATCCGAACAGAAATCACATGGGGAATCCACCCGGCAATTTCATCGATAGCAAACAGGGTGGAACTTGGTAATTCCATTTGACTGCGGATAAACCATCCTCTGGACCGGGTGTCCACCAGAATACCATCGTGATTGGGATGCTGATGTTAGCCTGGTATTACCTACAACTAGTCTCGTTTTAGATAACGGAAATCAGAAATATGGTCTAATTACATTCAACGATAAGGAACCACCATTTCTAGATCATTTTAGAGACAACGCATGTACCACCACCCTATAGGTGCTTTCATGGATGAGGCAGGAATAGCGACTCCATATTCCAAAATAAAGTCCAAAAGAGATACAAATTTGAAATTTTCCGGATTCCGAACTACACTCGTATATCTAAATACCATCCTCTCCCGACTATATAAGTGATCCCTCCTTTAACGATATCATTACCACGTCTTCTCTCCCCCCCTCCCCCCAAGTTAGGGGTTGTTTTGAGAAACGTCACGTGTTACGTTAAGTGAGGAGTGAGTTTCTTCAACTCGATTGCGCAACGCACCGATGCATCGTGTGTGCCTCCACAATATTTTTAGAAGTGTCAACATGGGTCTCGCGATACTCATCTAGCCCGGAGTAGTATAGTTAGTAATCTGTCATAAAATCGATGTCTCAAAATAGCCAGAATGACTCATGAATGGCGTGATCAACGCGTGACCAAGACTCCAGAGCTTAAAGTTTAGCTGATTTAGGCGGTAGTATGCTTCATAATTTTGAACTTTAAATACGTGAAAATATATTCTCTGGATATCTTGGTAGCGTGATTACTATAAGGTCTCTGTAGAGAGGGTTTAGGAGTATACCTCTAACGTCAAGACTCGCGGTTCAATATTCTGACCAATGGTTATTATGGACCGGCATTTGCTTGTTGCTCCTGATTATCGTGATCACAAGATTTTTGTTTGTCTCCTATGCGATATTTCTGCTCTGTAGTTAGATGTTTTTCAAGAAATAGAGCACGGGTTATACTCGTACGCGTAGCCTGATAACCGTCTGCGTATACGCGTTGATAAGGGCAGACATAGATTTAAACCGGTTCACTGAACCTAATGTTGTCAAATTGACCATTTTCTGATCATTGTCCAGAATAGATCGATCGTCAGAAAATGGATTAGGTCGATTTATCGAAGTTCAAGAGTTTGACTATCGGAACAGTCAGGTTTCATGAACCACTATTATCAGAGAATATTAGGGCTGAAGAAAGCTGCTTGAATATGATATGGGATGCACAATGCCAAAGAAGGTTGGATGCGGGATAAACCCTAGAAAAGATACTGCTTTTGCCACTGAGTGCCGGATCTTCTTTTTAGAGACACCCTGTTAACTCATTTTGAAGAATTCTCATGATAACGTCACGATGGAGACAGTCTACTGCCGTCTGAATATTTGCGAGGCTGTAGATATGTAATCGTGCACCGCGATATATGGTGGACACAATGCAGTGTTGTTGAGTTCAGTTTGTAAAGCACCTCCTCGTGCAAGGAGATGTATGCAAGGATTCGAAGATTAAGAACTCAATGGCAACGCGGGTGTTGGAGGTCCCGTTTTCACCCTCAGGTCACGTGGGTTGGTCACGTTTAGTGACCCCATATGCCGAGGACAATCGATGATTGAGTGGCCATCCCGGAACATTGGCGATTTTGCAGTTCCAGGAAATGGGTTCGAATGGGCAATGTTGACGCTCGGCGGCCCACAATGGATCGAGTCAGTAAGGAAGGTTGGACAAAATTTGGAAACTTTAAAAGCTCATGGCTCCGTTCATACAAAACTTTGAGGTTTTAAAGGTGGTTCCATTGGTTTTCTCGTGAAAATTTCATGCTGAAGCGCCCCTTGAAATTTAGAATGTGACGAATTAAACATCAAAATTTGCAGTTTTAGTTCAACATTTCATGTCCGACTTCTCTGATTGACTCGACTCACTGCGCGGCCCAGAGAACAGAGTTCACCATTTGCAGGAGTCTTCGCGAAGGTTTGGTCGAAGGCCTCTACAAGAAGGTTTTTGCGTTTGGCCCAGATATTCCAGACCAAATTTTCATCAAAAACCAAAGTCTGTCATCGGTGTCAAACTCGCTCCTAATGTAAACAAACGAACGGCGACATAGTCCGGACATAAACAAAGCGGACCCAGAGCCGACTTCCTCGAGATGTTCCAGACTCAATTTCTCAGCGTTAGCGTTTCTTCACCTCGACAAAAGAACTTTCGTCCGCGTCCAACATTTAAGTATCCCTTTCGTAAAATCAAATATCAGTTACCCCGTTGATCTGTTCATGGTGATTTCAAGTGAAATTGCGGCGAGATACTCCAGACTCCTAATGTAAACAAAGCGGCCTGTGCCTGGTCGAGATGTTCCGGACTCATTTCTTCATTTACGTTTCTTCATCTCGACCAAAGAAGTTCTCGCGCATTCAAAGTAACATTTTCTGGTTCCATTGTTAGAGGAGAAACAAGTCATTTTGTTGTAAGTTAGGATAATATTTGTGTTGATTAAGTGGCTTCAGCATTGGACTACCTGGCTGCGCCTTGCATAGCTGCCTCTATATCAAGATGATTGGGAGAAAAGCTTTCTGGTTGATGTGCAAATCTGAATCCTAAATCCCTAGGAACGGTAGTTGTGAAAACCAGACGGATGTACAATGCTAGGTACCTTGCTCCTCACTCACTTTCTCATGGATGTTCGCTGGTCTCTCCAAGGTTCTGGTTTTGCGATGCGTTGAAGCCAATGCTTTAAGTTTAGCTATAACAACCAGGCTTCGGAGATACTAATTAACAATCCTAGCAGTCACCAAATTCTCCAGCAAACCCGCATAGTTGTCTATTAACAGCTGAAGAAGCAATGGAAACCGTATTTACCTATGACAACAAGATTTTTTCCATTGGAACTCTGACAGTAAGTATGAGGGGGAACTATCACCTTTAAGGCACATTTCTCCATGAATTTTCTTGTTTTTTGGCATCAAACTAAGTAGAACTCAAGGAAAATGAGGCAAGACTTTACAAGTTACCATGTAAGGTTCATCTGCTGAAAAAATAGAATAAAGTCTAAAATTCCTAATGAACATCACCAAGATGGTTCTGCCACCAGCAGTTCATTTTTTAAGGCACGGATCAAATACTGTGGTTATCTATTATTCTCACGGTGCCCATCAAATTATAGGTAAGAAACCTAGTCCTGTATTAATAATGGCATGGAATGACGGGCTCTAATTGGTGACTTGACCATCCCCAATAAGTTATCGAAAGAATTTACTTCTTAAAAGATCCTTTGCGAATAAAGCCAAGTAAATATGCGGATAAAAGTCCCGTGTGATATGTGAAGTGTACTTATTCTAAGTAATTTCAAAGGGAAGGGATGAAATGTTCAAAAGGTAACGTCCAAATTTGCTAAGTTGTAGAGGCGCTAGGCACAAATTGGACAAGGTGCCGCTAAGTAATGATTAAATGAATTTTTTATTGTTATTAAGTACGGAAAAAAGGAAAAGAGAATCAGGCCGATGCCGATTGCCAAAATCCAAAATTCGAAAAGTGTGGACTGTGGAGGGTGGTGTAGGACGTTCCATTTCCATAGTAGGAGAGGAGCCGAACCTTCTTCGAGATTACGGGCGGCGAGCGGCAACCTGATTGGCTACGAAGATTGCCGAGCATGGCCGAAGGCCTACTCGCCGCTTGGTAGGTGTTGACGGCGGTTTGACAAA